ACATATGTGGGACTAAGTTGGTATGTGTGCGTGTGTGTGTGTGTAAGCGAACGCTAAAAAATGAAACACGACACTTTTGCAAAGTGTCTCAACGGATGCACGTGGCACGTTGAGAATGTTTTCGCCTTTTTACATGTGCAACATAAACATCAACAACCAACCGAACGAGAGAGAAAAAAAAGTAAGCTGTGAAACGGTTCAGTACATTGGGATGCTGCTATAGTGAAACGCAGTACACACTACACACGGATATACTCGCACAAAACGAACCAAGTGCAAAAAACAAATAAATAAAGTCTACATACTCTTGCAAATACACACACACACACTGGGCTCATGAAGAAGAAGAAAAACACAATAAAGAAAATTACGTAATATTCCGAAAGGCATGAGACGATGCAGAAAGGCAGAAAGCTTTTGCTGTATTGCGTGGCGTTTATGACTTTGTTCGCAATAATAAAAACATTGCATCGGCTGCTTTGAAAAATCACTTAACACTGTAACTAGGAGCGTAAATTACAGACAACACACTCACACATACACACTCACTCACACAAAGCGAAAAAGCAACAAAATCGAAAACTAAATTGTTTTCGGTGCCGAAGAAAATGTTAACCAAATGTTACAGCAATCGCATATGAGTTTGATGTGTTTTGTCGTTGTGTCGACACACAACGTTCGGCAAAAAGTACGCGCTGAGCATAGTCGAGGGCAGGCAGGCAGGCAGGCAGGCAGGCAAGCAGGCAGGCGTGCGAGCAAACGGGCGGGCGGCGGGTATGAATCAAATGAATGAGCCGAGTAAGTAAAAGCGAGCGTTTCAAGCGAGCGAGCGAGTCAATGTGTATGAATGGGTTTGATATGATGGGCGATGGAGAGAAAGATATGTGAATGGGTTTTACGTATGTTTCATTTCCATCGACATGGAAGCAATCATAATTCACCAGAGCAAATTTCACTAAATGCGTTGAAATTTTCGACATAAAACTTCTTGCTTTCATTTAATTGTTCTTAAGCGAATGCGAATCAGCACCGTTGCAAAATTAATGGTATGTTTTCGTTCGTCTGTGGCATTGGGCGGCGTGCTTATGTTCGGGATATGATATCTGTTGACGATATCTGCGAGGATGTGATAAAACCGACGGCGCACATAGAGCCAACGTGAAATGCGATACGAGAGGCGAGAAGACAAGCAAACACACAAACACACATTCCACACACACACACACACACACGTCTCGAAATGCTAAAGAGATATATCGACTGTGTGTGTTTATTTTATTTTACGGTTTTCATCTTTATTCAAAGCTACAAAGACATTTTCTGGGCGACAGAGTGTCAAAGAGAATATTTTTAATAGCCGTAGCACAATTACTTCACGGGCACATTTCAGTACGCACACATATTTCGAAAAACAGAATGAAATTAAATTATCTTTGCGTGAATCAAACTTTTTCCATAAATTATTCCCACGTTGTCGTGCATCGAACATTTTTCACGAGTCGTGGTGTGTGACTGTGTATCTAGATATCTGTATATATATAATATATTGCATATGCGACAACCACTCAAAAACTCACTCATACGGATAGTTGTTTCGACCACAAGACGAAAAAGAGTCAACCTTTACGACGCAAAATTACCGAACGTATTTTCACATTTTCTCAGAGCCCGTTTCAGCAAATCTCTTTGCTCTTCGCTCTTTGCTTCCTCTCGCTCATACTCCTTCCTCACTTATTCCATTGAGTCGACTGGCCGTGGCCGTGCCAATGCCTGTGCCCATTCGCTTGTGTGCTTTCTCATCTCGTTTACATCACTTCTGCAACGGCCTCGACCCGTTATGCTATTTTACCATGGCGAATGCGATTGAATGAGTGAGTGAGTGAGTGAGTGAGTGAGTGAGTGAGTGCTTGAGCTTCATTTTAATCCTTTTTCTCTGTCATTATTTTTTCATGGAAAGCAAATACCAGCAGCCGGAGCTGAGCAGGCGAAGTGAAGAAAAGTGCGGTAAAGTGATTTTAACCAAAAATTTGGACAAGGGTTTTGAAACTTTCGTTTAAAGACGACTGCAGAACAACAACGAAAATACATGAGAAAAAAACCAGAAGAGACAAAGCGAGAGAGAGTGAAATAAGAATAACAGAATGAAAAAATAACGAAAACAAAACAAAACACCCACGAGTAGAGCAGACACATTTTCCGTGTTGACCTCAAGGATTCCACAGGAGGAAAAATGTCTTCGATTCGTCGGTATTTGTACAATTCCTTTCGAAACAATTGCAAACTTTGTTTCGTATGCAATCGGCAAACTTTCTGAATTCATACACACATACATACAAACAGGGAAAGAGCACGAATTAACAGAGAACAGCAAAACAAGGCTTTGTTTCTATTTTTTTCCCGTGTACTCTTTGTTTCATTCATTCTTTCTCCCTTATTTTTCTTCTGTATTTACATGTTGAAACGACGCATCACGGCACATTTTAAATTGCGAATGTATGAGCTAAATTATTTCCATACCAAGTCAAATCACCCAAGAGCGTTCGCAATGCACCCTCGATCTCAGAAGTGGCTGCTGAGGCAAAAGTAACGAAAAACGAAAAAAGAAGAGGAAAGAAACGAAATAAAACCGAGTGAAATAAATGTATACATAACGAAAAGACGACAAGCATTGGAATTTCTTCTTTTCATTTCACAATATTCACAATATACCTCTTCAAAACTTTCTCGTCGTCATCGTCATCATCATCATCATCATCGCCGTCGTTGCTGAGCAAACGAGTTTTGCTCTCCGTCTACGTAAATGGAAAATGGAAAATGTTTCATTTTTTTAATTTAAAACCCATATATTTTTATATGTTTATATTTTCGATAATGCGGTAGGTACATCGGAGCAAAAGGGGCCGATCTTGAAGTGATGTGCTTATGCTATGATGATGATGTTTTCGAGCGCACACACACACACACACACACACACACACACACACACACACACCGAACCCCAAAAGTGAGACAGATGAAAGAAATACGAGAGAAAGACGAGAAAAAAGTGCACACCGGTTAAGGTGTATTGATTCACGCAGGTCGCAGATGTATTTGCTTTCTATTCCACTTTGCTCGTATTATTTATGTATTGGATTATTTTCGAATTAATTTGAAGCATGTCATTTTCTTCATAGTTGGTTTGTTTTCGTTGCCACTGTCAATGTGGGTCCTTTTTGGTTTTCTGTCATTGCATTCGGTTCGCTTTTGGATCGAATGGTATCGGTTCTGAGGGTTCATTCGCCACTTAACCGCAAATACCAAAACATTCGATTTGTTTGGTACTGATTTCATTGATAAATTGTATACGATTGCATATTGAAATCGATCAAATAAGCAGCCAATCAATCAATTTCTGCAAAGTTTTATTGGCATATCAGATTACTCTCTTCCGTAAACATGGTAGATTTTTCAAATTAATTTAACGAATTCATTTGAAGCACAATGTTTCAAATGAAATGAAAGTTGTTTGGGCGGAAGGGCCCAAAAAGCATTGGACTCCAAAGGGAATCATGCACGAATCTTGCAATACGATGCCATTTCCCTTTCGCTCTGCCTCTCTTACCTTATCAGAGCAATGAAAATGGTTGTCTATTTTTCATTTGTACAATGTACAGTACGATGCGATTCGAGTGAAGAGACTGGCTCCAAATGCAAATGCTACTCACAAGTCCCATTAAAAGCCATTAAAGACATAGTATAAACGCGATGGGATGAAAATCTGTCCGTATACAACTCACAGCTTTTCTTCTTCGAATAATTAATGATGAATGATAATCGACACATGTTCTTCAATCATGCTATCGTGTACGGGCCACGTTTAACGTGAGAAAAAATACCCACGATTACTGATGATTGCAGGACAGTACACTAAAGACCGAGCAGGACAGATATATAGAGAAAAAGACTAAGTCGAGAGAACAACGAATGAAAGAACAACATACGCGGGGCCTAAATCACATCAACAACAAATAACAACGACAGATGAAGCCGAAGTGATAAGCAATGTATATTCGCAACGATATAAATTAATCATTTCGTGCGTTGTTTTCTTGCAAAGGCGCAAAATAATTAATGGATGTAAAGCATAACCATCGACATTTAGTGTAGGCAATAAATGAGCTATCGATTCAATTAATGGTTTCAAATGAAGTTTACGTTGCCGTTTTCAATTTATTCTCTATCGCTCTCTCACTCGCTTCCTCGCTCATTCGGCGAAAATGTTTATCATTTAGTTGTCGGGAATTTGTGGGTTAAATTGTGGTAATGGCATATCCAGCCAAATGCCGGCTGCTGATTCAATTTCGGGAATTCATTTGAGCGTGAATGGCTCGAAAGTGATTAAACTCAAGATTCACAAATACTCAAATACACACGCATATATGCACAGAGCGAGAGCGAGAGCGAGAGATAGAGAATGAACAATGTTCGGCGAGCAAGAAAGCAATGTCGAGTCGAATACACAGATTTTTTGTTGTTGTATTTTGGGTGTGAGACAACCGACACCTCGCACGTTTTCCCTTTGAAAATGTTGAATGGAAAGAGCAAAAGCGACGAAACAGCACAGAACGGAGTGAAGAAAAGCATATTACAAATAAACTTGAAATCTTGAAATGTACACGTGAACGTCGAAGACAAAAACACGCATCGCGTGTGTTTCAAATCGATTTTGCGATAATCTTGGCGGTGCTCACAAAAGTAACATTCCTCTCAATCATGATTTTGCAAAAAGCAATTTCTTTGACACTAAAGTACAGAAAGTTTTTTTTATGATTTTGATATGAGGTTTATTATCGGTGAGCACATCCTCGCGCTTGCCGAGATAACAAAGTGTTGGCCTTTCCACTTGTCGTCTCGACGAAAAAAAATAACAATTCTGTATAAATAGCCAAAATAATGACACCGTTGATATCAGTTGTGTCGAAGCGCATTTTTCCGTAAGTTCACTTACGTCGAAAGAAGTGGAGAAGAGAGTCAATTTTAAAGAGAGAAAAAAAGCAGTTGAACGCAACTGAAATTCCAATCCTCCGAGCGTAATTCAACGTTTGCATTTTATCAGTGTATTAAATAACAACAGCTCTAGATTAAGATAGAGAGCGAGAGAAAGAAAGAAGGTAACGAAACCAAAAGAAGGAAACAAACTTTCGGGAAGATGTCGTTTAATTCACTCTTGAAATGTTTGCTGACTTTGTTCGCCGTCTTGTCGGCGATTCCAATTTTAACGGAAGCGCATCCACTCGCAACCGACTCGGGTAAACACACTCAACTCAATTCAACTCCATCCAATTAAATAGAAATGTTGCCTTCATTTGATTTTAATCATAAATATATTTCTCTTTGCCCTGTCGATGATTTTCCAGATTGTATCATCCAAGTGAAAAAGGATTTGGGAGAACCGCAACCACTGTTACTCAATCCACGAACCGATGAGTTTCTATTTCCCAAAACGAGCGATGGTGAAATTGAATTTTCACAGGGTGATGGCATCAAAATGTATTGCACACATGGCTTTCGTTCGCCATTCGATGGCAAAAAATCGATTATGGCTTCATGCGTTGCTGGCAAACAATTTAAAGTCGATAACAATTTGGTGGATGTTTCGAGGCTCGTTTGCATTCAATATCCAGAGCACAACGTTCGTCGTACGAATGACAAGTGCACGGACGGTATAATTGCTGAAATTGGTTTTCAAACGGATCGCAAATGGTTGCATTTGATGCGAGTGTGTCACAATGAAACGATTGGCTCGACAAATTGGGTACAATATAAACAAAATCCAGCAAATCGCGGCTATCAACACGCAATCAAACAAGTTGATTTCGTACAAGGCGACTTTTATCAAGGTATTTTACACGTGACATATTTTCGATTATCATCAAAGCACGAGTCTAGCCGATAACTCATGGTTTGATTTGTTTTTTTTTTCTTTCTTTCTGTTTCTCTTTCTGTTCGGTACTGTGCTGGTTTTTTTTCTCGCAGGGCTCAAGGTGAACGATTTGTATTCGCGAAATGTTCAGCGTGAAACATGTTCGATAATTCTACAGTCGAAACCGTTGTGCATGAATTTGATGCCGAACGGAGGGGATTATTTTTTATCAAGAGGTCATTTAGCTGCACGCTCTGACTTCATTTACACTACACATCAACGGGCAAGCTATTACTTTCTCAATGTAGCATCTCAATGGCAATCGCTGAACGGGGCCAATTGGAACATACTAGAAGAGGTAAAATTAAAGACTCAAACATCACATTTACCGAAAACTTTTCCATGCACACACAAACACTGACTAACTAACACACTAAAATTCGATTAAATTCAATTTAAAGCATTTGAGACGTTACATCGATCAACAGAATTTAAATGCCGAAATTCACACGGGAACGTATGGAATTGTGCAGTATGATGATCGGAAAGGCATATCACGAGACATGTATTTGTCATCAAATGAAAAGACAAAATTTCAGAAGATACCCGTTCCAAAAATCTATTATAAAATGGTTGTCGCCGACAATGATGCCGGGATCGTATTCATCGGCGTGAACAACCCGTATGCAGACGAAGCGGAAATCAAACGAAACTACATTTTCTGCGAAAATGTGATATCCAAAGTGAATTATATTCCATGGAAACCAAACCTACGACTGGGTCATATATACGCCTGTCCGAACGATGAATTCGTTAAGTTTGTTCCGAACGCACCAAAAGTGCCGAAAATCAATCGGATATTGCTGTAATGGATTGTATGCGAGGGGTAAACCACCTCAGAATTGGCGGATGGAGGATATGAAACGTGCTCGTATAACGTACTGATAAAACCTTCTGAAAATCCATAAGAAAAACCATACGTCAGATGATAAATAAATTTGGAATGACTGGCAGGTCGTAAAAAAATTTATGGCATCCTTGCGATGCCGGTATAATACCTGTCAACGTTCATTTAGTTATCGTCATTGTTGCAAGGTTTGTCAGTTCGTCACAGTAGTCCCCCAACAATTCTGTGGTGTTTGCCCATTGCTCGTGTTTTAATACCCGTCCATGTACTGTTTGAGAGAGAGAGAGAGAGAGAGAGAGAGAGAGAGAGAGAGAGAGAGAGAGAGAGAGAG